AAGAAGCAAAGATGGTGTGGAAGTGCTTTGGACCCTACAGTCTTAGGAACTATGGATACCTGCAGAGTGACCTCAATAAATGCTAGTTCAGTGTGAGTGAAAAACAGGCACTATTGCTTTCCATCTTTAGCTGTTCTTGGACTTTTTGGGTTAAACTCTGAGGGTCTCAGTCTGCCCATTACTAACAACTCCTAGACCACACAATCTGTTTGTAAACAACATTTTAAGGAACAAAAATTTCTTTTTTAGGCAGCCCTGAATTCAGTTACTGCAACTGTAAAACTCTAGAAAACTGAGATGAATGATTAGAAATGCTCAAATTGCGACAAGTTAAGCAGGTACTGCAAATTTCCTACCCATTTACAAACAATGCTGTGGACACCAGTGAGCTGCTGTGACCACAGAGCAGAAGGTATTCCCTTTGACTCCACTCGTGATGGTGACCCTGTCAGGAAGGCTCTTTTGCAGTAACGTCAGCCAGGGTGCAAAGGGAATCAGAGCTTCTTGCTGGCCTGCAGGAAGCAATTCTCCTGCAACATAAGGATGTAAATATAGCCTATGGCCTTGTTTGGAGAAAGAACTGTTATTGAAGTTCATGTTTTATTGCAACAGATGAGTTTCTTGGTGACAAATCCCAGACGAGGGGTCTCCATGCACATATGTATTTTATGCACCAGGGTAATGATATGTATATATGCATATATAATCATGCTTATCTGGTATGTATGCAGGCATGTGCATATGTTGGCTGAAGAACAGGCATGACAAAAAAGGTTTCTGAAGGTTAAATACACCTTAAAAGATGAAATGTTAAACAAGCCTTACAGCCATGGTAAAGGAACCAAAGATCCGTATGACTTTCAGTTTGACCAAAGGAATATTTTCCTTGGCATTACCTGAACCTGTGTGAGCAAAATGGAACAATGAAAATATTGCTCAATGTTTCTCTCTGCACACAAGAAACAAATACTTCCAAGGGCCAAATACTGCCCTTGGCAGTTTAATGTAATAAAGACTTCTACTACAAAAGAGGAGAAAGAGAAAACATTTCCTATTTTTCCAAGAAGAGCCACTCTAACAAGACTTGACAATCCCCTTTCCCATTCAGAGGTGCTTGAATTGACAATATTACCTTTCTGTGGCAAAGGACATAAACTTGGGCACTGACCATACCCCAGCTTCACTATGTTCCCATTATGATCAAAAGCTATGACTGATTTCTCTTGCTACTCTACTAACCAGCATAATAACAGTTGGATTTCCATGCCCTCTATTACTTTGCATTTTTCACAGAACTTAAGATTATTAAATCTAAATTTCTTTTTCTCTACCTTAAGCATTTTGGAGCGCTGAACATATTTATTTCCTGTCTTGTAGGACTGTCCCATGCACATTGTGACAGAGAAAAAAACACCAACCCTAAGTCTAAATGAGAATAATGAAATCCCATAATTAACATTTCTATTAGAAAGAGAGAAAAGCATCTGTGTGTTAGATGCAATAAACACAAATAAGTCAGAATAATCTCCAGTCTCGTATTAAGATGTGAATCATCTATTTATTACTTGGAGTATAAATGTTCCATTGCTATTTGCACAGTGATTAAGAGTAGTTTTCAGAAAATAAATCTGTTTCTTAACAGTGCAAAGAATGAGAGGGATGGAGAATAAATGGGAGTTTAAGGGGATGCTAAAGTTCTCCCATGAGCTTGGATGAGATTTATGTGCAATGTGAATAAAAAATGTATATGACAGCTCAGGATTCACTTTGTTGTTGGTTCCTATTCCATTTGTCTAGTGTAACTGTATTCTTTGCCTCCCAGACATATAGTGAGTCTGGCACTATTGAGCAAGTGAGGGAAAAAACTGCTAGTGAGCAGCTATTTGTGGCAGCTTAACCTCATCCAATCTCATCAGACCCAACATTGTGGAGCAAGGCCAATGCCATGAGATTTGGAGTAAAAGCATGACCCTGCAAAGCTCCTTCTGCTAGGAAGGGGCATTGTAGGAGGCTTGCTGCAGATCAGTCTTATTATTGCTGTGCCTTTTACATTTTAAATGAATATATAGATTCTTCAATTATATATCAGCTTTCATACAACGTCAACAGCTTAATAATGGCACAAGCAAGACTGGTGGGATTGTGATATATGTTTGATATGCCTCTCTGTGCAGCTTCAGAGCTGTGAGGCTTCATGCTCGATGCTTCATGTCCATTTCCTGTCTACTCTCATTAAGGTTTTCCACATAAATCTCACTACAGTTGCCCAGTTGCAAATATGCAAAGGTCTGAATCTGAAACTACTGATACAGTATTTTTTAAAGGGACAACATTTGGGTGGCTAGGAAATAATACCAATACTATTGAGCCATCAAAGTGGAGGATTTGACTGGCTATTTTTCCCCCCCATTTCCTGAGGGGATGAGACTCAGGTGCTTCTGCCTCCTGCCTCAGCTGTTTTCACCCTGCTCCCATTGCACACATGATTCTCCAGCCTGGGTTGTTTCCTCCTGGCTCCCATTCCCCAGTATGTTCTGAACATGTTTGCCCATTTCAGCAAAATTTGGTAGCAGGTAGAAGCCTTCAGCACAGTGTGATCTAGCACACCACAATTTAATTCAGGAAATCAAGGGAAAAGGCAGAGGCAGAAACATTCTTCGTTATTGCCACCACAGAGCCACCTCAGAGAGATTATTACAAATCAGAAGATCCACACAGGATAGTGCTGCAGTAAATGAGCCTGCACATGATCTACTGCTCAAGGAACTATTTGTGGAAGAAAAATTATATTTGTTAGCTGCAGAATTATTCCAGCTGTTGACTCGGTGTAGAACAGGCATTACACAAATGTGTCCCCCATGGTGCTATGGCCACCCTCACTCCAGGGTGCCAGCGCACTCCACCAGGGCCCTGGAAACTCATAAGGGTCTCTTGGTTGCCATGTGCTCACTGGAAGGGCACGTAGCACTCCATCATGGTTTGCATAACTCTCATGTATTGGAGGGCAAAGTGGTGGCTGAGGCCATGACCTTGCTAGGAGGCAAAGCTAAAGGCTGTGGAAACATTAGGAGAAACACAAGCTACACTGGAAGTAGCACAGTGCCATTTGCTGATCTTACCCCCAGCAACCTTCTCCAGCTCCATGTAAGTATGTAATTGCATCAGAGACTGCTGATGATTCTGTCTCAGTTTATTCATTGCCACATATATGGAGTAGAAACTTGTACCACATAAGTGCAAAGTTGTACCACATCATTTACAGCAAAACACAAGTTTTATAGGCTACCGAATCTACTATAGTGATGCCCTTGTGCCATAACACCGTAACAGTTTGTCCTTCTTGACACAACAGTGGACAAAATGAGTAGGTCAACTAAAAGATGTCAAGGAGTTCCTGAACGTTGTGTCACGTAACAGCAGCACGCAAAGCATGGTTCTCAAACCACACATGTCCCTGTCTGTTCAAATGCAACTCCTGCGTTCAAACCATCCTGCCTGACCAGATCAGGACAGAGCTTTTGTGAGCTTGCTGGGCAATCCAGGTCACTGCACAAGGAAAGAAGATGGCATGGGCTGCTGCATCCACCTTTGCCAGGTTGTCATAGGTCACAGATGCACATCCAGGCTTTCCCATCCTCCCCAGAGCAGAAGGTCCATTCCCTCCCAAGCCCCATGTCTCATCTCTAGCACCTCAAACTTCTGCAGCTTGAGTTGCAGAAAGTTGAGGAGTTTGACCAGCAGGGCATTTAGTGTCACACAGACAAATCAAAAGTACTGTAGAGATCCTGTCTGGACAGTCAAGTGACTCTGGCTGAGAGCAGGCAGGACTAGACATCACTGATCTACCAGCAGTGCTGCCAGCAGTGGTCCCAAGAGCCCTCAGACAGCTGTGGCCAAGTACTTCTTGTTTTCCAGAGAGAAGAAGTTGAGAACAACTAGATCATTTTCCCCCTAAGGTTCAGAAAAGCTGTGGCTCTAGGTTTTAGAATGATACTTCTGAATGCTCTTCTTCCTTTGACCACACAATGAAGTACAATATATGGCAAAACTCCTAAGGCAGACAGTTAAAAGCACACACAGGGATGCCAACCCCATACTGCAAGTAAACTCCTCACCTTGCAGGGAGGAACTGCATCCCAGCTTCCCACCAAGAGTTTGGACAGGTGTCAGCAAACCATCCCACTCATATAGCCCTCACGCTGTGGGAGCCAAGTCCTTCCCAGAGTTTGCCAGCAGGTTGTCACAGGGCAACTCTGTGAAGCTGCAGTTGGAGGTTCCTGAAGAAGCCATCACACTGTTCTCACCCAAAATGTCAGCACTGCAGAATGAGCAATGGCAGCACTTCAGCAATGCAGTGACGTTTTGTACCCTCTGGCAAACAAGGTACGTAAATAAATGGGTTTCTATCTAAATTCCATTGTGTGCAGATTTGTACCAAAGAATTGTTGTGATGTGCATCATTATGTCTCATTATGTGATTGCAAGTAACCTTTTGTATAGCAGACACAATCCACGTAACATGCTGTGTGACCAGTTTACAAAACCAGGCTCCTTCAGAAGGGCGAGTAATTAATCATTATTCAGCAACAGCACTCACCACTCCATACTGCTGGCAGGAGTGTATAACCCAGGGCGTGCTTAGCTATGACAATAAATTATTCATGCAATAGAAAACTAGGGTTAGCTGTGGTACTGTACCACTAAATGGTTAAAACCAGAAAGGACTCTGTTAGTTTTCAATTGTGTGGCGGATTTTTTTTTTTTTTAATAAATTTACTGCCAAGACATTGCATAAAAGAAGCACAGGCCCGAGCTGCAAATGCAGTAGGAAAGAATTAGTTCAAGGCACCAATGTGCGTTCTTCTTAATGCCAAAGTCAATAATCTGAGGACAAAAAGAAGATTTCTTGAAGGTATAGTGCAGTAACTTTATGGATGCAATAATTTTATCACTTTATCAAGTACTAATTTAATAGAGAATGAAATTCACATTGTCAAAAATAAACTGTAGCAAATATTTTATTTGATTAAGAGTCCTAACAGCAACTTACATATTGTGCTCTTTAGGACAAATTTTTCTTCATACTTAGCTTTGGATTTCATTTACATTACATCTGGCGGACAATCTATCATGACGCAAATAAGGCACATGAGATTATTTACATTTGATCACTGTCCACTATTTACACAAGCCAGGGTTAATGCAAAAGGCTGCCAAGGGTTGGAGTTTAGCCACTGATTTTGGAGAGGCTGGGATTGTACCTGTTTTCTGTTCAGTTGCCTTTGTCACAGGCCAGTTCAGTTCCTCTCTACTAGCAAATCCAACAAGAAAATAGTCAGTATGCAAGCACAAATCCTTTTATCATCCTGTACTTCATCATGTATGCATTCCAAAAAGGTACATTTCATCTCACTGTATACCAGATCACTGTATATCAGATCTCACTGTATACCACACCTGCATATATAACTTTTTCAACTGAGCCCATTAGTAACTTTTTAAAAGTTATTTCCCTTTATACAGGAGTCTTTTTCTCCCCATTAATTCCACTTGAATTTGGAAGAGCTTAATTCATCAGGTCCAGTCACGTCATTAAGGTTATAGATTATTTTTATAAAAGAGAATCAGAAATGCCTTTGCAAAACTATGATTCCAGAAGCATGTTAAAAGGAAGCTGCAATAATTCAAAGGAACCTCAAAAGCTAGACATGTTTTGAGGAATATGTTTCCAGCTGCAGAATAAATATTTGTAACTTCACCAAAATTTGTCACTGAAAAAAACAACCGTTCACTTTGCTTTGGGTTCACAGGCTGCTAAGATTTTGGGTTGAGGTTATTCGACAATAAAAGCATTGGCCGAGGAATGAGCACCAATCAAGTGCAACATTTAAAATTTATACATGTATTCCATTCAGTTTCCGTAATTGCTTTGCACAGACACCAGCCGTTCAGCAGAGCACATCGTGTAGCAAAGGATGAGCTGGCTTTCTCTTTTTCCCAGCAGAGAGGTGTTAGGAGAGCACAGCGACAGGAAGCGCAGAGGACATATTCCCTTCCTCTCATGGAGGATTTCATTTTCTTCTTTGCTGAGACGACTAGTCTCCTTTGCCCTGAAGTATTAACAAATATACCAGCTCCCAGTGAAGACAGGCTGCCCTATGTCTATCAATAGAATCTATATAGAATCTTTTCCCTTAGGGATTAATTCAACTTTTGATTCAATCTTTCTGAGCTTTAAATTATGATGTTACAAACCTCCAAGGAACTACTGTACTATTTGTGACCTTCTTTATTACTTTCTGCTGTTTGATAAAGTAGAGGAAATTGATTTATAGATTAGTTTGCTTGTGAACATGGAATATCAATGGTGAGAATGTGATTCACGGAAAAGCAGAAGAAGTTGGCACTGGTTAAAGTTTAATATAGCAGTTTATTAATTAATGGTGAAGGACAATAGAATAACTGCACATTAATCTTGAATGAGATTCTGGAAGTGCAACATGAAGTAATAGCAATGAATCAAGGCATCTTGCAAGAGTTGGATTTAAAGTTTTCAAAACATTTTCCACAAGGAAGAAGTTTGTTCATTGCTTCCACTTCTCTTCCCTAAACCTCCCTCTCTTTCCCTTATGACCTGACAGGTGTTTTTGTGTTTCTGTAAGCATTAAAGGTTAAAGGTAGGAGAGGCAGAAGTTTTCCAAATGGAGACTAAAATTAGGTGTTGGTGTCTGTATTTGGATTCTTAGGCCTCAGTCCAGGAGTCTATTTTTATTCAAAGCAGCCGAGCACTTGACTTCAATGGATCTAAAAACACTCATGCTTAAGTGCTTTGCTGAATCAGGACAGACTTAAGCACAAATGTAAATGCTGTGCTGAATTTGGGCTCTAAATATGTGGCTTGATTTTAAAAGTGCTGAGAGCCAGCAGGTCTAATTGAAGACGATGGGAGCTGCGAGATGCTCAGCGTTTCTGAAAATCAGGCCACTCACTGAGGTGCCTGAATCTGATTTCAGGTGCTCAGCTCAGCTTGTGGGGAAAAATGGTGACCCAGGACAACAGGCAATGGAAGGGCCTGATTTTATGCAATAAACCTTAATGCAAAACGAGGAGATGAAAGGCAAGAAGCAATAGTTTCCTGGAAATCTAATAGAGTCCTTTTTTTTTTTTCCAAGCATCAAAGTGCTATGCAAAAATATAAAATGAATAAACAAATCAAATTAAAAACTTAGTAACTGGAGAAATATTGGGCTAAATTCATGCCTTGTGGAACAGCAGCAAGACTAAAGTACATCAGGAATGATTTGGCTGACTACGTTTTGAGCATTAATTTGATGAGGAGCAGTGAGTCAACAACGCAAATCCCACACAGTGAGGAACTTTGCTCCACCACCCTTGTGAGAACCAAGCACAACTGCTTGGATTAGTAAATGGTGAAAACGCAGAAGCTAAACATGGCATAAATGAAACACAGTGTTAGTAACAGAGATGAGGTGGAGGGTAGTCATCTTGAGAAAGGCAATTTTTTCAACAGAACTCAGTAGTCCTGTACTTACAGACCACAGTCAGGCTGCCCTCCAACCGTGCAGGCTGCCCTGCGCTGTTCCTCACACCACTCCCCAGGTACTTGCCGAGGCACGTCAGATAAGAAGGCTCTGTCACACACAGAGTTGTGCTGTAAAACCCCAGAGAAGGCTGTGGACACAGCAGGATAGGCTTACAGCCATAAATTGGCTACATGTGAGTGAACCCTGGGCAAACCAAAGAAAAGCAGTTTCTTCCCCTCTTTTGTGCATGTAAAAGACAGGTTGTGAATACCCTTTGGTATCCCCATGGCCTATCTGTTGCTTGCCCTGTGGCAATGCTGGTGTGGAAATACACCATGCTGCACACTGTACAGGATTCAGAAAAGCCACACTTTCCAGCTGCCTACCTGTCTGGTCGTCCCCAAACATCTGCTGAGACAGAGAGGCTGGTGAAGGGCTCTCATGACATGCTTTCTCCTAGTACAGGTATTTATCATCTCAGGACAGAAGATACTAACCATTTTGCACTCATCAGTTCCTACTTCCTCCACAACTTAGATCCAAGCATGGTTAGACAGAAAAGCCCTTACATTCCCCACCCCTTCCTAACTCAAACCAGCAACTCCTAAACTCCACTGAGGATTATTCAAGTTTCCCTACATGGTTTACGTCATCTCTTCAACAGCCTTGGGTACTCATGGCAGAAAGGCATGTAGAATCTTTTAACCATTAAATGTATTAAAACTGGCAGTTCTGTCCCCTGGCCAAAGTGCAGTAATGCAGGTGTGCTCTGGACTACTATCTCAAATCAATTACAACCACTAGAAAGAGTAATAGAAAACCCAGTACACAACCTGTTGAGGGGGAAAAAACCTGTCACCTGTGATAAAAAAGAGAAACAGAAATGGATTTGAAACATTCGTTTCCCTTTATTAGCTCAGTGAGGCTGATGTGTACTGCACATTAAAAAAAAAGAAAAAAAAATCACAGGAATTTTCATACAATGACTTAAACCACAAAAGTACATGTAGAATCGGCAGGTGGAAAATAGCCCAGCTTGGGCTTAACTAGTATCTCATTTTCCCTGTTCAGCATAGTCTAACCAACAGCTTTACATGTTCACCTATACTGTACAAATCTTACAGTAGCTCCATAAGGTCAGTGTTTCACATTATTGAAAATGTCTGTCACATAGGTACAAATTTAGAATCATCACATTATATTACATGGCTATTCTAGGTCATTTATAGATCAGATCTTATACTACAGTGATTGAAGTTCTCATTACAGCCATCAAAAAGGACACATAATCATTACCTACTGTAAGCTTACATCTAAAGGGATGATAAGTTGTGGTCGCTTTGTGATTTTTTTTTTCAACTGACCCAAGTATTATACCCCAGAGGCACAAACTTTTCTCTCAGTTCTGCTTTCAGTTCTGATGGCAGCCCAACTGCTTTTCAGAGTAGTCTAGCTCAGATATTTTTCTTAAACTTTAGGATCCCCCTGTTTGGATTAGTATTTAGATCACTTTCTGTTCTGTAGGAATTACTTTGTTACAGTTCTAGGAAAGTCCATAGTTTCTAAGTACCACTTCTGTTACCTGCATTGTGGACATGGTACTTACCACAGCATGAAAGCAACAGTACAATCTTCATCTAAAAGACACACAGAGCTATGCTGCAATTTGCCTTCGGTGACAATGTGGTACATGTGCTAATTTGAAATGTTCTCGGGGAAGTAAAAAAGAAAAGGAAACACCAAGTTTATATTTTGATGGGTTTCCTACTACAGTGTCTATGAAGGATCCAAATAGCTTTATTCAGCAATCCTAGCTCTATTAATTTCACATGTAATTTGTAAATCCACAGAGGAAAGACATCTTCAAGATGAGAATGTTTGCCAGGCCAGTGAAAAAAAAAAATAAAATTGACTAATCATTATGCCTGCTTGGTGAAAAATAAATAATCCCCCCGACAAGCCCCACACCAATTTATTAATGTCAGCAATCAAGGGCAAAAGAGAATGTTTTAAAATTTAATCACAGAAATGTAAAGGCAAAATAGGTAATGCATCTGGTCCTTGAACACATAATATGATATACTAAATACTGATTTCTTAAAAATAATTTATTGCTTTTAATATTTTTCTTTACAACAGAAGATACTCAAAATCCAGAAAGGAAAATTGTAAACGTTTAGTTTGGCATTCACACAAAGTTAAAATACCTGCATTTTTAACCTACAGAGCAACAACAAGAATTATGCAGATTAAAGAATGTTACATTTGTAACACAGAACCTCCAGAAAAGTTCTTTTCTTTTTTTTGTTTTGTTTTATTGCTATCTATCTACTGAGAAATAAGAAGCCAAAAAATCGAGCAAGCATCCAACAGGACAGACAGTGGAATCTCTCAGAACACAATATGCTGGTGATAAAATGAATGCAGCCATCAAAATCAACTGCACTGGCATGGGGGTGGAATCAGTTTTCTAAGATTTGGAGTGGGAAAGTAGATTAAATAGTTAGGTGTGCCATACCTTTAAGAGTAGTCATGAATGCCAAACAGTAAGAGAATAACAAACCTATACATTCAAGCAAATTTCAAACTTTGCTGATTCAGTGTAGAGACTCTGAGTTCAGATGAAATTCTGATGCTCAGATTAGCAGTAGTTTACTCTTGTGGTTTTTTTCTTTCCTGAAGTTTCTATTTAATTTAACAGAAGCAATGTCATCAGCAACAATGTCATGGGCACATCTGAGGCCATGCTAGTGCATAGTAAAAAAAGAAAAAAAACCCAAACAACTCACTCCTCCTGCAAAAGCAGAATTGCCAAACAAAGCACTTGCTTACCCCAAACTGACAACCATCATGCATCCTAGGTATAAAATTTCCACTGGCCTTTTTATTCTTTTAGTCATCTCATAATTTATAATAAATAGGATAATTGTAACTGATAAATATGTGTCTTTAGTAAACAAAGGAATGAAGGATTGGTATTTATACAGGATGTGTAACTGTAAAAAATATAGATAAATACCATCATTAAACTGCCAATGAAAAGATTACTGGCTTCAAGAACAGTGTTTAGACACAGAATTACTGTAAAAATCATACTGTACTTAGTACCTCAGCATATTTTTATCAAATTAAAATCACAAAAATTAAAACAAAATAGCATTTTAAAAAGATTTTTGACCTCTAGTTTCAAAACTACTGTTGATACATAAAATAAAGACATTTCTTAATGATTACCCATTTGAGAGACTTTACATAAAATTATGATATCTCCTAGAAAAATTTAGATGAGAAAATTTCATTCCCCTAACAAATTCAGTGTATAAAACTGCAAAAGAAAATCAAGCAATGAGAAAAATGTGGAAAACTACTGCAGAAGTGGTTAATACCTTTTGGGCTAGGACAGCTCTTGACAAAATTCTTATATAAGTTCACCAAAGAAGGGATGAATGTGTGTAATTGATTTTTGCACTCAGATACACACGCGCACACACATATACACACACACTCACACCCTCACCCACACGTTTTTGTCTTTTTTTTTTACAATCAAATATATATAAGCATAAGTTCAGCTTTCTACATATGTTAGTGTACAATAATTGTTTCACCTCCTATAATTACATTTGAATATTCTTGTTTAAGAAAAATTCAGCAGTTTTTGAAAAGAAGGCTGCATTTACAGTGCATAGCTGTAACAAAAAAGAACATCGTCATACAGTATGTACATAAATAAAAATAATCCATTTAACATTTGTAAATACTCAACTACTTTAGAGAATGTAGCAAATAAACTATCTGCGCACACACCCAGATAGTTATATCCAACTCTCATTAATAATGTAACACCACGTCCGCTCATTAGAATAAATCGCTGAACAAGCTGCACATTTGACCATTAACAAGGCTTTGAAAATTTTGCTGTGGAAGATCAATGTTGTAGACATTTACATGGGTGTCAGAATTAAAAGATGAAACTTCAAAATGTTAGGGAAGCTTGAGCCTTTCATTTTCTTTTCTGCAAGGACTGAAAAAAAACCCCAGAAACCCAAAAAACTCACAAAGAAAACCCCAACAAAAAAAAAAGAACAATCTTAAAACAAAGCTAAAACAGACTGTAGGCTTCTGGGACCTGTGGTTTTTTTCTGGATTGTCGTATTATCACCATGTTGTGAGAAGAAGCTTCTTTAAAAAAAACAAAACAAAAAAGCAGTGTCTGATTCCCAGACATCAGCAGCCATAGTTCTCACATTGGGGTTTTTTCTGTTTGTTTTTGTTCTTTTTTTTGTTAAAATGCAATATGTACAGGTTTTGCAGTTCATTGTTGTACGTATATCTCTGTGGAACTGCTGCCATGTCTCGTGATTTGCATTGAACTCGCAAGGAACACCCGGCTCCCCCGCCACCGATCACCGCGAAAGCAAAGCTGACACCCATGGACATGCGTGTGCTTACTGGACAGCCGTCTTGCCCCTCCACTCGTCGAGCAGCTGTGTTCATGTAAACCATGGTTTTGAACAGAGAGTGTAAAGTAGGAGAAATTCCTAAGTACGACTTTTTAGTTGTCCATTATTGAAGGACGTGACGTCCGTGAGGTATTCGCCATCCCCTTGTTTTCTTCGGATGACATGCATGTTACCTACGCAGGCTCCGCTGTGCCTCTTTAAGTAAACTATCAAAATCCATGGAGTCATACTTGCTTTTAGTGGAAGCAGGATCAAAATCATCTGAGTTTGAATCTGAAACCCAAAGGATGCAAGTTTAGATAACAGGCAAGAACCACTAGCGAATACTTATTTTCTCTGTACATCGCTACACTCAACGTGCTAAAGAAACAATCCACTTACAACCACAATGTGATGGGATGATAAAAGCATAAAAATGATCACCGGAGAAGCTTTATGCATGAACAGAGATTTCTGGTAAGAAGCAGCACTTAACAAAGGCAGTACACATCATCAGCACTGGGGGAGAACCATTAATTGCATGTACATCTAGAACAGGTTAACTCAAAAGGACCTCAGCATGATACACTACTATGTATAGGTCTCAAAGTAGTCCAAATAATCTTGACAGATGCCTTACCCAAAACTCCACTGTTGTCTTGCTATGGCTGTTTCTCAACATGCAATATTTAAGACTTAATTCTCCTGAGAAAGGTAATAGGGGGATGGTTCTGAAGAAAGCCAGGGCAGTCTGAGGGCAGCACACAGAGGACAGGGCTGCTTCTGCCTGCCCTGCCTTGGGGTCTTGTGCAAGTCAGTACACCTCTCTGAATCTCTGGTTTTGCTTCCACTCATTTTTGGGGGTTTGCTTGTTCAGAGATATTCTGGGCAGGGCCTCTGCATGGTTGTACATGCAGGTGGGCTTTCTGCATCATATGTGGTAAGCCAGAGCAGCAACAACAGTCCAGCTCCGGTGATCTGTGACACCTGCTCCAGCTTTGCCAGTTGCTCAGACACAGACATCACCATGTTCCTAGCACAGAGGAGGGACTGTACGTTCGTGGCCACACAGCTCTAGGACTCCAATTATTTGGAGTCAATCCTGCTTAACACTTACTCTCCCCAGTTCCTGTGTCACAGCTCCTTTATGAGAGTGCCCTTTTCTTGCCACTTCTTGTGTTGAATTAATCAGAACTCCCCATCTACCACTATAAGACACACTGTGCATTAAATGTTCATTACAAGTTCTGTTAAGACAATAGCTTCTCACAGAGGAGAGGTGTTAAACTTCTGACTACTATTTTCAAGTGTTTTCTTTTTTCTGTACTCAACCCAAGGCTGATTAATTCTCTCTGTCCTGGTACCAGCTCATGAATTTTAAAGTTCATCCTGCCATTTCCTTATGTTGCTCTATCAGATACTCTGCAAAACACAGGGAATGCAGTCTGAAGTACAGAAGCTCAAGCTGTCAGCAGGACAAAGTGAAAATAGTCTGCCCACAGATACTTTGGGAATCCCACTCAATATGGAGAGACCTGACAGGGAATACTCCCAGTGATGAATAATGTTCAAGAGGGTTCCCTTCAGACAACTTATTTTAAACTCCTGATTTTCTGAGATACAGAGATGACCTTGGCTTCCATTGCTAAAGATAAGTCAAATCAAGCCAAGACTTAAATCTGGTTTTACTGTTTTTATCAGCCTACATTTCGACAAATGCCTTGCTACCTTTTATATTTTCAACATCAACCCTGTATCTCTTCAGCAGTCAATTGCCTTTTCTTAGCTTTACATTATCTGTTTAGTCACTGAAGTGAATTATAGCATATTCATTGTGAACAATGCGTATCATCTTTATAATTTATTTTGAAAAGACATCAATTGGTTAGAAAAAATATATCTGTATTCACTTCCTGCATTGTACAAAGCCAAGGGCAGCGCATACAAGATTTCATTAGCACTGTGTTACAGGGTTATGAGAGATTTTAATGACTGTGGTCATTTATTCATAAAAACCCCACAATATCTGATTAATATAGATTCAACAGCAAAATGTGCCTTGCTATGTTATTCAGAAAAAAGTATCTCCCGTGCCTTTAGTCTATTTATACAGGTATTAGGAAAGATTTAACATCTAATGAATACTTTACATTTTAAAAGGTAATTAAATAAGAGTTGAGTTTATCATATATTATAATATTACAGAGGCTATTTTGGTACTCTGCATAGTCTCTTTATGCATATTCTTAACATCAGTATTCCTGCTCTAAGACTTTGAACATGTCCAAAAATCCTTGCAAGGGGAAGCATCACACCCTGACCCAGAGCATAGGACAGAACCACACGTTTTTGCCCTGACAGGACTTGGACAGACCCAGATGTGTTAGCACAGACAGTATGTACACTTGAGCCTGGAGTTGCCACAGCATGCTGAGGTCTGGAGACTGGTATGTATAATGCCCCATTTCAGTGTGACCGCAAATACTATGAGATTTGCTAAGCTCTCCACGGGCTGGAGCCTCTTATATCATTACTGGAAGTCCCTTCAAGAAGACACCTTCATATACATATGTTTATGCACAATTTTAGAATCACTGGTTGAGATCAATGGCTTTTACCACACTAAGGGTCAGGTTTGGTCACAGATCCTTCTCGCTTTCAAACTTGAGTATCTATGAATTGTGTTTAAGAAGAGCCCTTGGCAAGTTCTACACATCTACCAGAGAACTCACAGCAAAGCAAGAATCGTAATGAAGTTTTTGTGATAAGGCGTCTCCTTTGTTCTCTGTTTATGAATCATATAAATAAATGAGGTATTGGAACCAAGCAGTTACACCAATAAATAGTAATGCATGTGAGAGGTTTTTGTGGTGCTGTCATTTCAACACAGAAATGTGTTACTGAATATTGAGCACTTATTTTTATAATGGTGGAAGTGGGCTTTAAAAGAATTTTTACAGTCTGGAATATTTGAAAGAAGCCAGCTCAGATTAGTTAACTTTTAAACTTCTTACAGAAAGTGAAAACCACTTCCTTCAACACCTTACCTGCCCCCATCATTTAAATAATATAAGCAGTAAACAAAAAAGTAGCAAACTCTAAATTCTCCTGAGTTACAAGATTCCAGTTATGTGCTTTAATTCACATAGACCAAAATACCTACCTAGGTCTGCATAGTTTGACTTGCAAAATTGCTTGCGTCCACAGAAGTACAGCTCAAAGTCAGGTTCATTTGACCTGCGCAAAGTGTATCCGTTTTCAAGAGCAGCGAAGGCGTCACAAGTATAGCGGTAGGTGATGAAACCATAGCTGTCTCTGAAATTGAAAAATACAGTTGTGAATAAAAGCTGAAAAGAGTTAACACACATTAGTGTAACCCCTTCCTGAAAGCAAACTTGCAGGAGACCCAGCAGTGGAAATGCCAGAAGTACTGCATCCATTTATCAGCATGATTGTCCTGTCATACAGCTAAATACTTATTTCTGGGACAGGAAATCTCAACTAGCAAGATTAATAAATAAGGATGAAAGAAAATAAATAAGGTTTTGAACTCAGCATGTCATCTGTCACAGCCCTTATATTGGTAACTCCCATACCAATAATTTTACTGCCATAATTTTTTACATATGGCAGGTCCCAAACAAGTAGTAATCTCAAAAGTTCCTACCCATCATCCCGCAAATTTACTGTGCACTCCTCAATTTCACCAAAAACTTCAAAACGGTCCCTCAGTTCTGTTCGGGTTGTGTCAGGTCTGATTTTACCCAGATAAATCACACGACGTTCTTCCTGTTGAAGAAGAGCAACAGGGAAGGCATATTTTTAACAAATGTGTAATAGTGATGAACCTAGACATATATGCATGCAAATACATACACAGATGTACAGAGGATGCATAATTATAGAAATAGTCTCGTGTGGAAGACCTACTGCATCTTGCAAGTGAAATAGTTCTCTCCTGGAAAGCATCTAAGGTATTTACATGACACTACATTTGTTAGGTGGTGTGCTCCTGGAAGGGTTCACTGCTTGCTCTTACTGTTCTCTATACACTGACAGTTGGCTCCATTTGTATCCTACTGCACCTTTTTCCCTTTCACCCTTTCTACCACTTCCCCTCCAGGACTGCAAACTCTTCCAAACTAGGAGCTCCCTTTCTCTTGCCATCTACACAATATGGAGCAAAATCCACCTTAGTTGCAGAGTATCATAAAGTAACACAATATTTGCATAAAAGTACTACAGACATAACAAAACGTATTACAAACGTAACATTATAAACCCAGATGACTCAACAGATGATTCATCCTGCAATCCTGTTCCTCCATAATCCATACCTTAAAACAGAGGGAAAGCTTTCAAGGGTTGTCATGTTTTAACCTCAGCCAATAACTAAGTACTACACAGCCCCTAGCTCATTCCCCACCCTCTGGTGGGATGAGGAGGAGAAGCAGAAAAAGTAAAACTTGTGTGTTGAGATAAGGTCAGCTTAATAATTGAAACAAAGAAAAGTATAATAATAGTAATGAAAAGGAGAGGGAGGGAGAAATAAAACCCAAGAGAAAAAAGTGCTGCACACTACAGCTGCTCACTTCCCCACTGACCAATATCCATCCCATCCCTAAGCAGTGATCTGCCTCTTCTGGCCAACTCTCCCTGGTTTGTATACTGGGAATGATGCCATATGGTATGGAATATCCCTTTGGCCTGTTCAGGTCGGTTGTCCTGGCCGTGCTCCCTCCCTGCTTCCTGTGCACCTGCTCAGTGGTAGAGCATGGGAAACTGGAAAGTACTTGATTTGGAGTAAGCACTATTTAGCAGTAATTAAAACATCAATGTGTTATCAACATTGCGCTCACATTAAATCCAAAACACAGTCCTGTACTAGCTACGAAGAATAAAACTATCCCAGCCAAAACCAGGATTGGGTCCAAAAGATGACTTTTATTAAAATAAGTATTTCTGAGGGGAAGGCAGGACAGTAAAATATATCTTGCAGTCACCATTGCCTGTTGGTTTATTCAGAAAAAAACACACCTGACTGAAGTCCCTGATTTTCACAGGCCAGGGTGTCATTTGCATGTTCTTTCAACACTTGGAACAAAGCATCAGACCTTTTAAAACAATGGAGTCACAGTCATATGCTTTCTCCCTTAGAGAAAATGCTCAGCAGAATTAGGGAAGGACTAGGAAACCCTGTAAGAGTCACTTCATGAATTTTAGGATGAACACTTTGCTGAGGGTAGAGCCATTTAGTGAGCTGAAAGAAAAGCAAAAGGCAAAAAGAGATCTTAAAAACACTGACCTTAAAGTAATCAGGGCAAAGAAACACCAGCTATACCTGGCTTGGGTGCTCAGCCTTCCTGTCTCTGATTGCCTCTGGCCGGAGGAACCCTGGCACTACTAGCCCTACTGCTCATCCCTTACACACCCGCACATTAGTCCCATAAATTGAACCACCACCACATTCTCAGCTGGTGTAAATCTGTCAGTGGAGCAATGTCAGTTTAAACCATCAGCTTTGGCACCTGAGACTTGTGCAGAATTTAGGTGCCGAATGCCGAAGGAGCTATACTGACTGCTGAGAATTCATGACTATCGTAACCTGGAGGTGCCTAAAGGCTAATGGCACCTCAACTGTGCAATGCAAAAGGCTCTAGGGACCTAAATATAGACTTGCATTCCTGCTCAGAAACATTCTAGCCTGAAGAGACAGGTAGTTTATAGTGTTACAATTCAGATACAGCACAAAATATATCTTTCTCATGAGTCCCCATAGAGGCATAAAGCACTAGTCATTCTTGGACTAGGGACAACAGGATTGAGATCAGACCAAAACACATGTAAAAACAAAAATTATCCCAATGCCTCCTCTTTACTTGTTTGAGTACTCATTTGAGATAAAGGGACCATCAGAACTCTTCGTTATGGGTGCCAAAAATCCTGGCTCCTTGCTCCCAGGAGAGCACTTGGCTCCCAGGAACTATTTAATACAAAATAAATAAACAATTCCTGCAGCAGGAAGCTAACCCTAATATATCTGTCTCCCAACAGAAACTCTTTCTCACTAGCACACTCAGTCAACTATTTTCGTCGACTCTTTTTCTGGCCTCACAAATCTCAGGGGCTCAGATCCAGTTAATCTAAGCTCCTGAGAAATGGAAGTTTAAAGCTGCAGAAAACAGAGATCGAAGAATCAAACATTCCCACACAAAAGCCCTGCTCACTAAGGAATGGCACAAGAATCACCTGGGTCCTTTACAGCTCCCTGGTCAGCCCAGCAGAGTCCTTGGTTGTTCTATCAAAGTGTGCATATGCTTTCCCTAATCAATGGAATCAAGTAAGGATCTCATTTAGATGCTTGAAACTACTGCCTCTTTTGATTATGTAAGGAACCAAGGTGAGTGCCTTAGTAGTCTTCTGTAACCCTACTGGAACAGATACTTTAATTTTTAAATGTTATGCCTTTTCAAGTTCAGGGTCCAAAAGCTGCCCTTGTTTTCTGCTGCATCAATGCAGTTTGGAGAAGTTAGAATGGCTAAAGGAAGGAAGTATGCCCATGGGAGGCCATACATTTAGGGCACAAGGGTGCCTTACAGACAGCTGCTGCTTCTTATCTCTGTCTCTACTGTGTCCCCGTCTAGAGCCCTGACCTTCCCGACAGAGGAGTTTGGGTAGGGCTTCTGCGAACCAGGGGCGTAGAGTGCACACAAGGGAAATATGCATTTCTTCCATTTTCCCCATTCTCACTCTGCTTACTTTCACTATGGTTGGGTGCCATAAACTTCAAAACCAGGAAAATCTGCATATGCACAGTAATTACTTTTTCAGACTGTTTTACCAAATCAAGGATTTAACCGCACTGAAACACTTGATAAGAAACAATTCCATTGATACTTGCTATTGAACCTAAATGACTGACCAGATGGAGCAGAACATAACACAGCAGACTGTCTAATATACTTTAGCTGAGATAATACATCTCGACTGAAAAAACATAATGTTTCACTCACTGACATGAAGATTGTTATATTACAGTGTAATGGAAATATCTTATTGCACACTCTTCCATAAGTCTGTGTGTGTGCCTGTGCAAGTTTTCCTTCTTCTATCCCTCTAATAACCTTTATATCTAGTATCTCTTTAAGACAACTGTAATAAATGAAAACTGTAAAAAAAAAAAAGAAAAGAAAAAAAAAAAAAACGCCTGTTAAAAAAAGCGCCATAACATTAAGGGAGTAAGTTAAATCTGTAAAATTAAGGAAATTCAAATTTAAAGCTGAAATGCACCATATGTCCTCCAGTATGCACACATGAGAAGAGGTGTTCAAGTATTTTTTAAGCAGAGTGCCATGATGGAATAAGATACCAGAGAACGCAGGATCCATACAGCACTGTTTTTGTCTTGGTTAACTTTGGTTTATTTAAAGCAGCTATGAAGAATGTATATGTATTCGCAGAGATGCCTGTCTTTTATCCCCATTAATAATAGGAGCTATAGAAGCCTAACAAGATCACAATATACCACTAAATGTTAAAGACCTTTATTTGATAATAAATTAAATGCATATATGTGCACATTAAATAAACAGCACTTGTTAGAGATGATAGATGAATTGGAAACCTACAGAACTGCAAAGAAAAGCCTTTGCTTACAATTTAATATGGGCAGAGGGAACCCACAAGAAACTTCAGAAGATACTATTCATATTTCCCCCCCAAAATTGCAGATGATTTATTTTTCATCACAAAATTTCAATGTAGTTCATTGCTTTGATGAGAAAAAAAAAAAGAATAGTCCACTCAACTCCCTCAGGCCCAACACATCTGTGTTCTTTTGGTTTATCTAAAGTTCCTTTATTATTATTATTATTGCTCTTTCTTCTTTGCAGTAAAAACACTTTATTAGGAAGATGTGGCAGAAAATCTCAGACTGAAAACCAGTATTTTAAGGCTCAAATGAAAACACTAAGGCACTAGAATACCAAAACTCGAGAAAACAGCACCAGGATATACCTTACACATCTAAGAGTTAATAAAGGGACCGCTCATCCTCCAAAACATTCACTGATGCTAAGGATCTTTTTTGTCTTGCAAAGGCTTCCTCCAAAACTTTATTTTCTTTGCCCTTCCTTATTCTTAAGTCTTTATTTCATAAGGCCATTAGATGTATTAGTTTTCACTTGCCTTTTTGGCTTTTTCCCCCAACAGTTTGCTTTGCCTGCCTGTGGTGCTGCTAAGCAGAGCCCATGGGAACCGAAGGCAGCCACTCCAGAGGTAACACTGCGTAGTGCTGCTGTTCCCATTTTCACTACCACTTTTTGTCTGCACATCCATGGTGCATACCTAATCCTCCAGGAGCCAGGTAATGCTATATGTGAAGCTGAGAGAAGAAATCCAGGAGTGTTTTAAAGCTCGGTTCTGCTATGGACTTATCAGAGGCTCTGCTTCTTGCTACAACAGAGGTGGCTGGATGGGTGCAAGCCCCATGCCTGTGCTGCCTTCCATGACATGTGACTTCTCTTCCAGTAGAAAGCCATGAAGACTTTTTAAAAATGCAATGGTCAATGGCTGGACAGGGTTTTAAAAATATAAATGCTATGATAGTAAACTGCCATTTAAGCTTAAGATTCTGATTTACTAATAATAGTAAGAAAAATTTTCTTCAGATTCAGTAAAGAATAAGTATGATCTTTGGGTAAGTATGAATGGCAAAAATCACAAAAACTGGAAGAAAAAAAGAACAAAAAGAAAGATTATCAAGTGCTGCTTGTGGGTCTATGTGGGGCTACCTGAGGGCTGAATAGTTCAGCCACACTCCATGGTGACCACTAGAAAAAAAAAAAGATGGACCAGTAAACCTCAAGGTTTAGGTAATCCATTTGATACTTATTCATAAACTCATGCAGCAAAATTAGAGTACCTAGGATCAAGGCCATCAAGACTAGCAAAACCAAAAAAATCCAACCTAAATATACGATGTACATTGAATCCTTCATTAGTGGAAATGCACTCCATTATAGGTTTTAGACTTCAGAGAAGGTAAGCACTCATTTATGAAACCACCTTTCTCCTGCCTTCCTGTTTTAGAGCAATTTATTTTCTTTGAAACCATGTGTTTCCTTCCGCTGCAGTGGTCTCACAGTGCATTTATCTTCTTATGTCTGTAAGCTCTCTGGGACTGGGACTCTCGATACTTGTCTCACTGAGGCTGTCAGCATTTAGAAATGAAAAGTAATAATGTTAATAGTAATTTTCTACTGGACTATAAAAGCTGATTTTGTTATACCTCTTGGCAGCAGCCTGTGCATGCATTAAATAGGCCGCATGGAGGATGTGAATCTAAGTTAGTATTGTGGCCAGAGCAGGGGAGTAGCAGAGAGCCACAACACCAAGATGCTCACCAAACAGTTTAACCTCCCTGCCCTGGTGTACCATGTCAACGAGGAATCACGAACTGGTGACTCTAGAATTGCAATGTGATAACTATTCCTGATGCCATGCTTTGAAAAGTATCTGCCGCGTGGTCTAAGGAGCTGCTGGAATATAAGCTCTCACATCTAAGAAATTTCCTGGGGTGTACTGGAAGAAAAAAAGGGTCATCAGACCACTTGGCAAATCACTGTGATCTGCCTTGGTTGGGGATTTAAGTTTCTACAAAGCACCAAGTAGATCGTCCTGTCCTGCAGTGCTCCTCAAGTTTCATGGTGAATGTGTCTGGTTAGCATTATACAGTTAGGCAAGTCTTGGTGGCAGACCATCCTTATGTTCAGTGAGGACCCATTATAAAGCAAAATGGGGACCCTGTGAAATAAATCAAGTTAAGATCAAATTAAACTATTCTAACATTTGCTCAGTTAGCAAAGGGATCACAATCAAAAGTATAAATTAATAAATGAATGAATGGATGAATGAATTAATTAATGATAAAAATATTTTTCTTACTCTCTAAATGGAAAATATCTTGTGGGATCAGCCCATATTTTTCAAGCATGACTGCTCAAAATTAAGACCTCAATCCACAAAAAAGGAACTGAATCTCCACAAACTAGACAGAAGGAAAGAAGAAAAGGAAGAGGAGAAGAATATCACAGTACCTTTTGAAATCAAATCACCTGTATATAGCTGTAAGTCAAGACAGAAATTCAGGAATTCAAACAGGAAAATGCCAGTCCAGGCTTCTAGCTGATCTGAAGCTACTGCAGTGAACGTGGTGTGTGCAAGACTGAAGGGGCAGTCGTTTGAAACACGCCTGTGCCACATAGCATGGGCACGGGATTCTAAAACAAGCCTCCTCAGCACTCTGTCAACGTCTGCACATCTGCTGGCACAATCAGAGGGCACTGCTTCTCATAAGATTTTGACAGATTAAAATATGTGATTTTTTTCTCATTTCTTTTAGGTTTTCCATGCCTGTTGCCACATGGAGACTAATTTTAGATACTGATTCAAGGATACCTGATGACTCGTAGCTCAGTCACAACTTTCGTTCCCGTTCTACTGTGCATCATTTCCACAACTGACTTCTGAGATCATAGCACAGTGCTTCTCAGGAAGGAAAGTCACCAGTCCTGTGTAACAACTGAGGCATTAGTACTACCCACTCTTTGGGGCACTCTTTTAACAGTACCTGGAGGTACGTGGCAATAAATCAGTTCTGGCAGCAAGAGAATCGGTGAGGAACAAAATAAAAAATTCCCCAATACAGAGAGAAAAGAAATCTAAATTTATGGGACTGTAGAAAGAGGAAAGAGAGAAAGGAGATTTTTGTGACTGAAGGATAAATGAGTTGAGTCCCTCAAGAAAGAAAAGAGTAATACAAAAGAGACCCATAAACCAGAATGGGTAAGAAAAGGAGCAGAGAATGCCAGAAATAATACAAAATTTATCACTGACTTCATGTGATCAGGGCTTCCCTTTCTTTGCTGTCCCCTAATCCCTACTTATTTGCACAGGGTATAAACTAGCATGATTCAATACAGATTTTTAAAGTAAAAGTGTTGGTAGACTTTGAAAAAAGGAGTTAATAGGATTTGATCTACATTTCCTGCAGCTCCTACACAGATGACTGGATTTTAGATTTTTGCCATGTTCTGTTTATTGATATTTATTTTTAGTTTTGATTTATGTTTATTAATAAATAATTCCATTAATTAAGTTAATTATCATGAAAATGTTCACTATGGAAAGAAAATAAATTCAACCTTGGTTTTGAAATGTCCAAAATTTTTAATGCAGGAAGCTATGATGCAGCATACCTGGAGCTTATTAAATTTCTTTTCTTTCCTTTTCTCTTGATTAGCTACTTGCCAAATATTTGTTTGTTTTAAACTAAATCAAATTTTCTACCTCCTCAGGAGGATTCATGTTTATTTATATGGGTAAGGTACAGTAATTGAGAAGTAGCAAGATACACCCATGACAGAGGTCTACTTGAATCTCTAATTTCTGTTAGATCTAAGAGAGAACAGCCAGTGTAAGTTATGATTGCTGGAAGGTAGTGTTCACCTCTAAGCAGATGGAAGCCAGATATTTTAAAACTAACTGCAACAATTGACTTAAATATGGCCCTGTCTGAAGCCAAGCAAAATTATTCCACTGCCTTCACTGAGTTTCAGAGCAGCACAGCAGTGTGTGTTATAGCTCTAAATCTTGTGCTTTACAAAATACACCTATCACCCACACTTTGTAGATAGGGCACTTGAAGCAGAATGAAATGATTTGATGAAGCTCACTAAGAACAACAGTAGCAGAGACAAAAATCAGACCATAAAGGTTTCTGTTCCCTCCCAGAACTTCTCATTGCTGTAGACTATGCCAAGTCTCTTTCAGTATCCATACACTCCCAGTTCTGCAGGTGTATTAGAAGAAATGCCGATTGTGTGACAAATCACCTTTTGCTACAAAGTCCACTAATGGCACTGGCAAAAAGACCTATTCATCTTGGTCACCTCTGCACAGAGTACTAAGGGAAAACCTGGAAACAAAGATGAAGTGTCCCAGTCTGCACCAGTTCATCCAGCAGTCAGAACAGCAGTGTAGGTACAACTGAATGGAAAGCGTAGGACACAGAAAACCAAACTGTGACCAAACCTTAGCAACTAGAAGAGGAATCCAGATTCACAGCAGCTCCCAGTTTAATTTACCAAAATGCAGTTGCCAATGGGGAACTAAAAGGGGGGAAAAGCCTCCTGCTCATTTAATAACCACTCTTCTGTCCTAGTGCTACAACAGCCAAGAGAGTTACTTAACCCCCTATGGGTATTTCCTTCACCTCAGGTATTTCTGTTGCTTCATATATTTCAATTGTTTCACAGATAACACTGATGAACAAAATAATAAAATAATACATATTCATTATGAGAGAGACAATGTTAAATGACATCTTTAAATTGCATTGTGTCTTCAGATTATTTATTTTGCTAAAAATAACTCAAAATTGAACTGACTCATATATAGCGAAAAAAATCGCAATTAAAGTCATGTCTGACTTTACTGATCCCAATTTTGAGTTCTGTCGTCTGCTCTCTCTGTATAGACAATTACAGCCACTATGAGAGTTCAGCAATTGGTAAGTAAGCTGACTCCTTGCTAAGTGTGGTAGGTGACACACAGTAAAAGGCAGGTCACTGGTAGATCTGTGTAAGAAATAGACTAGTTCTATTCTACTTGTGTGCTGTCTGGGAGTAACCCTTTTTCTAGTAAGTTTTCTGTATCTGTTCACTGTGAAAAACTTGGTGAGCTGCAATTTACAGAACTTAAAAAAATTAGTACTGTGACATCAAAACAGAAATCGTTATGAAAACACATATTTGCTTAAAACTAGAAATACTAAGAAATACACATAATCAAATTTTTGTATTTTTATAAGGAGAAAGCAAATAAACTCTGAATTTTAGCATTAGAATCTGTGAAAAGAAACAAATCTACTTCAATATGAAAGTCATCATCTCAGTGCTTACAATTGCTTTCTGCCTCTGTCTCTCCCTTTGTTTGGCCCTTTCAGATTCCCGTTTTTCATACTCTTTGCGGTATTCTTCCCTCTTCAGCTTTTCATGCTGATATTCCTCATAGCTGTCATATCTAGGAAACATAACTTAGTCATTAAATCAAGCATCTGCATTTGTGAATGTAAAATTAGAAATACAATTTTTGGAAAGCTTAGTTATCCTAGGTAATTAGCAACAAGGACAAGAGGAAATGGCCTCAAGCTGCACCAGGGAAGGTTCAAGTTGGACACAAGGAAGAATTTCTCTACTGAAAGGGTGGTTAGACATTGGAATGGGCTGCCCAGGAAAGTGTTGGAGACACCATTCCTGAAGTGTTCAAGAAATGACTGGATGTGGCACTTCGTGGTATGACTTAGTTGGCACAGTGGTCTTCAGTCAAAGGTTGTATTCAATAATCTCAGAGGTCTTTTCCAGCCTTAATGATCCTATGATTATCTCTTGAGAACCAGCTGCAAAGTAAAACAAATGCAGGCCAAAGGCACTACCTGGGTCTGCGACTGTACGGTGATCTGGACCGCGATCTTGCACGTAAGGGAGAACTTCGGCATGCTTGGTGCCTACAGTGGCTGGACTCATAATAGCAACAAGATCTGCAGGAAGAAACACATTCACCTCTGTCATTCCATTTGAGTGTATTGACACTATTTTCTACCTCTTCCCTGAACTTACAATTTCTTCTAAGCTACCAGTGGGATTTTCCAGTGACAGTTCGCAATCCCCTAGTCAACTAAGGGGCCTTAAGTGATTTCCTCCCCTCAGCCTTTCTGTAATGTTCTTTATTGAAGCTAACACAGAGCAGTCAGTCAGCCACTGCCAACTTCATCTGATAGAGGCTGCAGCTAGATTGGCACCAGGCAGCTCACAGATAATGGGAAAGGTTAGTTGTGTACATCTCTCATCAATTGCTCTGCCTCTGACCTGACTGGCTCCACTCAAAAAGTGTAAACTTGGCAAATTAAAGAGTATTGTCAACAAGTGTTTCTGTAGCAAACCCATAACCTTTAGAGTTAATCAGCTCAGAAGCAATAGAACAAGTTGCACTGGAATAAGTTATTTCTTGGTTTTTTTCTTTCCTTCCTTTTAGTTCCTTTATGTTTTTGCTGTTCTCCTTATTAACTAAAATGATCATACATGAATTTGCTGTACCATACCTTGAAGAGGATCTACTACAGGGCGACCTTGATCTCGACCGGGAATATGGAGAACGGGAACAAGACCTGCGTTGAGAAAAGGACCTTGATCTAGACCGTGTCCTTTGGGATCTTTGAGAAAGTAAGGATTTGGGTGGAGACACTGAATCTCTGCATGGAGAGTTAAAAGAAGAGCAAGAAGGTGATACATCAAATAATGAATAGGCTTGTGTCCCATCCCAAGGGTAGCATAGTTTATCACTTTCATCTTCACTGTCATCAAACAGACCATCCATTGCTAGTCCTGAATTTATAAACATAGGTAGTTTGGAGAATTGTTCATCACTGTAATCACTGTCCCTTAGTTCTCTGGTCTTATCTGCTTCTTCATCAAAAACAGCTTGGCTGGGGTGACCAAAATGCTTATTCAGTTCAGCCCGAATTTCCTGGTCTTGGAGCTGTTTTCTGTTATTACCATGGGATCCCTGCTTATTTGTCTGTAAAGTCTCTTTCTTGAAATACTGGTCTTGTTCTAAAGAAGAACAAATCTGACACTGCCACCCAGGTGAAGAATCCTTAAATTCTAGTTGTCTTGAGTCCTGAAGTTCCTGGGATATTTTAATGTGTATTTCTGATTTTGAATTCACAGATTGACAGTAGTCATGGTCACCAAACAGCCGCAAACTGGGCCGTTTTGTCTTTCTCTCCTCATGTCCACTGGACAGTACTGTAGTCTTGCTAAGCTGTGCATACAGCTCAGACTGTTCCGGACCCTTCTTGATCGGGTTATTTCCTGGAGAACCAGAAGACTCACTATAGCGGGGTTTTTTTGAAGGTGGTACAACAGTCTTGCATGATGACTTCGGCTTAGGTGAAGTCCTAAAAGGATTATCTTGGTTGGCTTTATGAGGAGGGGTCGTAGGTGGAGTTAGGCCTACAGGGATTAAAAGGAGGAACAGAATGTTTTTAAGCAGACATACAATGTTTATAAAAGTGGTTCATGTGCTTCTTAAAATAGGTACAGAGCAAGACCCATTCTATGTCACTTTAACATGGGAATAAAAGTATTTAGGGTATGAGACACCAAAGTCTGGTAACAATAGGAACAATACTAATGCATAGCCATTAATCTTCAGCATCATTTCTGCCCCTCCCCTCCCTCCATGACATCCGCCCCTCTCTCTATAGCTTTTAATAGAAAAGATTAAGAGATAAAAACCAAAAGACGTTTTTGTTAAATATGAAACAGATTTTGATGTAAAAATGAAAAGTCAAAAGACTGGTACCATCAAAAACGTAAAGAACTTAGCAGACAAGAACCTGGACAAAAGCAAACCCAAGAGAAATAAATGAGAACTACCAAAGGACGCAGAACTTGAATGCAAGGAAATACAGCCACCCTACAACTCAACAGCAATGACTCTTTGTCTCCACAGTTCATTAACATAGAAAACCTTTACTAATGTATGTATAATACATTCTTGTAAGCATAACTAGTACATTTTGCCTGAAATACAGTTTTGCAACTTAAACCCAAATGAACAACAGTACAACTGCAACTGTAATGAACCATTGCATTTAAAACTAAATAGCAGAGAGAGTCATGCGGCAGAGAGTTCAAATGAAACAGGTAAGTATTCAAAGACTAAAGATACTGCTAACTACCAGGACTGTTTATATAATAAATAGATTATATCAGTGTGGTGAGACAAAACTGAAGGAAGTTCTGTAGCCCATTCCAGTAAAGCCTGGGAACTGAAGCAGCTGATTGCACTTGTTTTTATGAGGACAGAATAGAACTTTCAATATTTTCTGTAGAAATCATAGAATTTCTTCAGACTTCACAAAAGGATAACCCCAGACACCAGAGCAGAGTAACAGCAGACAGCAGACACTGTTTAGGAAATAATTTCTCTTCAGGTATTATGTTTGAAAAATTTGCTTCTGTCCAACTGACACATGCAATTTAGTAATATATTCTTAAAATTTAACAAATTAGATGGAGATTAGGGAGTTCTAGATAATCCAGACCATCCTTAAGCATTCCAGAGGCTCATGCGATCCAAGATTTCTTCTTCTAGCCCAAGCAATGAGCTCTCCATTACTTATTTAGCAAGAATGAAAAGAGAGAGCAGACACAGTTACAGGAAATTTGTGTTTCAAACATGGCTATAGAGCTTTGTTTTGTATTTTTAAACATGCAACAGAGCTCAGCAGATCAATGCAAATGGAACATGTTTTATAGTGTTTTGCTGTAAAGAAGGAAAAGCGTCCATCAATGCATAGTGCTCCCTAAGGAGCGTAAATGGAGACTGGGAGCCCCACTGCATTAGCTGCAATGAATTTCTTCCAGAAAATAAGAAGAGAGGAGTACTAAGGCATGAATACTTGACGTGAGAGAGATGCTTGATTTTGTCTGAATGTTTGGAAAAAATGTTTACAAGCTACCCAAGGCTATGTGAAGACTTTGCCTAATGCCACAAAAGTCAAGGGGAAGATTATGACACCTAAAACTCTAGTTACCTCAAATTTGAATTTAATAGTAAAAAAATTTTGTGTAAAGTCATCACCATTAAACTATTTCCTCTGAGCCCTCAATTTTTTTTTTCTTTCTTCCCCAAAATTCACTCAAGACAGACATATGTGTTTCACACCTTATCCACCTCCAGACTGTCAAGTATTTTTGACTACTAAATGAATTTATGGTAAAATGAAGAGAAGACTCCCCTTCAAAATTCTGCAGTAGTAATTTCCAGGTTAAAACTTCAGGATCAGATTGAGTAAATACTGCAGAAAGCAACTTTATAGATAAAAGACTTAGAACTGACATTTTTACTTATGAAACTATACAGATCATGAGAAGCTCTGGGGTTACTTACTGGTTTTTTGGATGTACTTTTAAAGAAAGAATGAAGCAAAAATACAATCACTCCACTATGAACATACATATTTAAGAATTTCATGCAAAGAAATGCCAGAGATAATCCAATATTCAAAATAAAATATTGTTTCAAACCACTTCTTTAAAGCTTGTCCCGGCAGTAAGCAAGCAAAACACAGAGTACAACTATTTCCAGAAACCTGACAAGCAGTCCAACAATCTTCAGAGAAAGGGGAAAAAAACCCCAAACCCTACCAAAAAAACCCCTCACAAAAGTACAGACTGAGCTAAATTTACTGGCACTTCTGTTGCTGGCAGAACTGGGCTGGGGACAGCCTAACAAAGGGCTTCCTCGTGGCATTCTGGCTTTTTTCCTGGTTTTCAGCAGAAGCAGGAAGTGCACAGGCAAGTAGAAACAGATAAAAGTTGGAAAATGTTCATTTAACTTTTGAACAAACCTACACCAGGGGATGGAGGAGGGAGTGAAGTTTGGAATTCATGTCACCTCTACGGAGTTCATCTGCAATTTGTCCCATGACCCATCTCCAAACTGTGAATTCTGAGAAAACCAGTTGGCTGCACACTTGTTCATCTTCACTCTAACCCCTGGAAATCTTCACCAAGGGCCATGATCCCACATCAACAGCATTACAATATCCTATAACCATTGGATTATTTCACACGCACCGATTTCTCCCCCAATGTGTACACTTTAGCGTTGACAGTACAAGGTATATTCCGTACTCTCTCTTGAACTTAGCAGGTTTTGACAGATTTATGGAAGGACAGATGGCCATTACGGGCTGAAGGCTGACAAGAGGCAGTTCAGAGCATTGTTAACACACTTGCACAAACTCTCAGCAGTGCAGCGCTGTGCAGAATGTAATTCAGACTATAGCTTTTTTATTGCTGCCTATTTTCTTTTGTCAAAAGAGCCTGCTGTGCACAGCAACAAATGGCTGCCATTACCCAGAATGTAATGGGTGTCAGACAAATCACGTAACACAAACAATCAAGAGTATGTAGGTCATATTTCAACGGAGCACAACCTTAGCAATATTTATGATTACTGCATTGAAATGTGCTCTATAATAAACAAGTACCTCTACATCACTCACACTTATGTACTTCTGCACAGCAAATCTGTTAGAAGTGGTACACGCTCTACAATCATCCCCCTTAAACAGTCTTTTTTCTTTTTAAAGTAAAAGGCAAGTATTTTTTCATGACATGCTATAAAACCATTTTCTTTGTAGGGACTTTTCCTTAATTGAATAGCTTTGGTAAATGGTACGTTTGCACTTTGCCTTGCTCTGTCTATATACTATGAACTCACTCAGTGATCCCGTGCTTGAGAACAGCATACATCAAATTGCCAGCACTGCTGCCAAGGCAGTACCATCCTCCCCGTGTCTGTGCAGCAAAAGGTGTTTGCATGTGTGCCAACTCTGCCACCTTGGCCATGCGACTTCCTTCCAGAAAGTCTCTAGGATAGTGAAGCTACATTTGATACACTCTGAAACTCCACTATAAAAAACCTGTTAGTAACTCATTTGGCTCAGCTAGGTTGAAAAGCAGAAATTAGGGGAGTGCCTTTGTATTAAACATGACATCTGGACTTAGGACTGATTTGCAATGCTGTTTTACATAGACACAGATATTTCTAAATCACTGCTGTAACTCAGCATCATATGTTTGATGACATTTGTTGTGCTTTGAGGGAGCTGATAATTAATGTCTTTTGGGGAACGCAGCCCTGGAACCTTTCCACATGTGCACTGGGCTTTTGAGAGGTATTGAAAATGAATTCTTTCATACCTTTTAAGTTTGAAAATGGATTGTCAAGGGAAACATTATTTAAGGCCACTTAAAACACTGAACACAAGATAACAGTTCAATTCAGTAGAAGAAGAGCTTTTGTGAGGCACAGAATTGCAGAAGCCAGGAAAATATAATAAAATTAAAGAGTCATCATATAATAAAAAACTACATGCTTGTTGAGTATTCAGTTTAATCCTGTTGTCAGTGCTGCAGAAAACAAACACAGATGCCTGAAAATATCAAATAATTTACTAGAATTTATTCCCTCTGGACAATTCTCTATATCTCATATTTCATTTTATTAGAAATCATTCTGAGGTCAAAGAAGTTCTTATATGACAGATTTTAAGTATTTATTCTCACAAATAGAGGTAATACAAATCAAGAGGTGGGCAAATTGGGGGTATCAGTATCCTCAAGGATGCTCATGAGTCCAATTCAAGTTGATTGTGTACATACAGCCCTTACTGTCATCTTTTTGGAGAAATCAAATTTTGCACCCAAAACAGGTGAGGAATTTTATATTATGATAAATTACAGGGAACTGTGTGCAAATGAGAGAGAGACTTTTCACCACGAGGGTGGAAATAGCCTTTCAGTTACTGATTGAGCCTTAGGCATGTAAACCAATTCCATGTACTTAAATGGTGCCTTTGAGTATTTAGGAGCGAACATTTAAGAAGACACTGAGATAACAGAGAGGGATTAACTAGAAGCCATGCCATCGAACATCTGACATTCAGAAGTTCAGCACAAAGTCTAATACAATCAAAATTTTAAAACAATCATTGAGGAGGCCTTGATTGCCAAGAGAAACACTGCCAATTTCCAGAAGGTGAGTCATCCTCCTAGTTCCTGTGTTTGCAGGTGCCCCCTCAACCTGACTAGTAACAAAGACCAAAGAGGTCACACAGAATAATCCCATAATTCTGGAAAACATTAGAGGTTCATGCCCATGGCCTCTTAGCAAGGCACTGACAGTGCAGCTGCCTGTGGAAATAAAGGGAGACGAATCTCTTCTGAGCCTCTTACTCAGAATGAGGCTCACCTGACACAGGAGGTTCATTCACTACATTATCATTGCCTAGGACTCCGTCCATATCATGATGTTCTGGTCCATTTTCCTTAGAATTACACTAGAAATCAGCTTCAGGAGTTGGGATTTTAGACAGCAGTGGACTTATTCCTCTATCATAGGGCACTTATTTAAAGTGCATTCAAAGAATTCTTATGTGTGGTGTGAAAACACTTTAAAAAATTTTTGTTCCTTGTAACTTGACAAATCAAGGTTTTGACAGTTTTAGGGAGGACAGAATTACAGTCATGACTAGTAATGAATCTGTTGTAAAGCAAGATAAAGCATTGGCAATAGAACAGTTTCAGTTTGACTTTCAATACATGAATCCAAAATGTGTGTGTGACGAAGATTGATGGCTCATGCGGGAAATGCTTTTATTTATTTATTTTTCTACTCTATAGTTAATTCATCAGTGAGGGAAGCAATGTTGTTTTCAGCAGAGAGATCAAGGGAGCTGCTATTTATATTAAAATACTTTGTGCTTCGATAGTGCAAGCAGCACTGCTAATGGTCTTTTCAATTGGATAGTGAGATCAAGGCAACTCCTATTTAAATTATAATAAATAGTGCTTGTACAGTGCAAGCTGCCCCATATAAGGACAATGAACAATGCGGTTATCTGGATATAATTTGGAGTTGCCAGGGTCTCACTAAGGAACTTCAAGGTATTATCAATCACTACTGACACTATTTTTTTTTTTTTTTAGTTGTTTTTTTGAAGTGGATCCCAGTTCTGCCATGATTTACACACATATGCTATAAGTTCTTCGGTACTCCAGGTTGTTTCTCTTATGTACTTTGCTTCTGGCACAAGCAGACTCAGGAAATAAGACACTACCGCGAATCAGTTAAAAAGTAAGACGTGCATCTTTTTATAGATTTATATACATACATGAATATAAATATAAAAATATATGTGTATGTGCAGGCAGAGATTAATACAGCTACTAAGTGATCTCCTGAAACCTCCTCACCAGGTTGTGAAGACCAGAGCAAGCACAACATGGGATTCCAAGACCCACCATCATGTGCACTGCTTGGTAACAGTGCCCCAGCTCCTTGGCTACAGACACTCTACCAACTCTTACTTTTCCTGAATATCATCAGTTTATTTTCTAGCTAACCTCTATTTACTTCCAGAGGCAAAAAAAAAATCATAGAATCCCAGTATTGCATTCCTGTTCTCTGGATATGCATCCAGTTGTGCTGTTTTTCACAGCTTCTGATGCTTTTTTAAATGCACCAGTTCTCCTGGTTATATTGTCCAAGGAACTACAAAGCTGTTTTGTTTCCTCCTCTGTGCCCAGCTGATGGAGCGGAATGAATTTGGTAATACCAAGACCATTCCCATTGCCATTATGGACGCAATACTAGAGAACTATCCAGGGGTCAGACTGACTCCCAACTTCTGTCTAGTCAGCTGATGGGAAGAGCAGGCTGCTGACTTTTTGGCTGGGAGAAAACACTGCTTCCTTCAGTGATTTCAACGGCTGCTTGTACCACTCTGCTGTAGTCACCTCGTCTGCCCCTTCCCTTTGGCAGCACTAAACACTGACTTACCCATGTGCTTACAAATGGGCACCCTTGTGCAGACTTGCTCTCCAGTAATGATAAAAGGCTTCTCCATGCTTCTGGCCTACTGGTACTGAACAGGATTACCCTCCTGCATACAGTGAATTTTGCCATGTTTGCCATGTTCGTTTTGCAAACAGAAGGTGCACTGGAGGGGCGTTTCCTTTTGCCATGAGAGGAATGACTAAGACTGCAGGTTTCCAGGACACAGCAGAGAAAAGTGTGCAGGTTTTAATGCTGAACTAATGAAAAAGTTTCTGAAAAAGCTGAAATGATGGTTGTAGGGAGATGAAAGCTCAATGTATACACACAAACCCAGCCTGCTGACTCTGAATTTAGGGCCACCAAGCTGATTTTTGGTACCTGAAGACATATTTTGCAATGCACCCCTCCCCCCATAATGCTCATATATCATAATGATCATATAATTTACAATCCACTGTTATCTTGAGAGAAACGCATTCCAAGAACATCTCTTATTTTTCAATATTACACAATTGGGAAAGAAAAGAGTCTTGGCAATAGCTCAGGTGGAGCTGAATGTGTTCTCTTGTGCTTGGCTCTGAAAACTTCAGGAAAACAGAGGCAAAACAGAGTTCAGAGGAAAGCCATAAAACAGATCTGAGTCTGAAGAAATTGACATCAGCAGAAAGAAGAGCAGATGAATTAAATGAGTGATTAAATGGATGATGCATGAACTAAACCACTACATGATAAAAAAATCCTACAAATCTTCAAAAGCTACAAATCCAGGGATCAGAAAGGAGGAGAAGGATAAAGGGAGGTTGTGTGAAGTGCGTTAATGGGAGAAATAGAGAGAAAGGAGGAATACAAAATTAATACCAGTTTTAAAAATTCCCTCTAAGCTATAGAATAGTTTTTCAGTGGTAGAGGAGAAAGCTGTTATTTGTGACATATTAATCTAGAACTGACAAAGCCCTGAAACATGCAGTCATGTACAGCCCTAGACCAGCCCAGAGACAGACTGGATGGCATAACTTTTACATCCGTAACATCTATTACACTGTGCTGTGGGGTTTGTCTTTGAAAGATGGTGCTCAGCAGTACACAAATCCATGGGGAAATGGAGAAGTATAACAGATAAATGGTTTCATTCATATTTTCTCAGAAATTATGCTCTCCTGTGTAGGTTGGGGACGTATTTTCAAACACATTTCTTCTCAGTTAACTGGATAAAAAGTCACTGCTAAACTGAAGTTAATCTACAGGAGACACTGTGAGATCTCAGTGTACCTGTAGTATATTACAGTGAACAAACACACACGAGCCATGCTTAAGGGAAGAGCCAGCACTCTGCATTTCTCACCTGCAGTTCCAGAGAGTTCCACACTTAAGGTTTGTTCAATAGTCTTGTTCTCAAATGGGGAACCCTTGGGATCACTGGAAGACAGGGCACATTTATAAAAACAAGCTGAAATGGAGTTGCTGTAGCCAAAATCTACTGAACCCCCCTCCCTTTTATAAATGTTTACACTTTTTAGTACTTACTTTGGTGACTCAGGCGTCAATGGAAGTGATAAACTTGTTGGTTTGGCTAAAGGGAAAAAGGAAACAATTATGGCATATTTAAACACACTGCAATGAATACCATAAACATTTTGTTTTATTTTGGCACTGGAATCCTATGGTAGTCAGTTAGGGCTGAACTTTGATAGTTCAGTTGCCATTTCTTTATATCTTAGATAGATAAATAAAGAGACTCATCCTGATTCCTTATTACTAGTACCAAAAGGGCACTTTAATTTTCAACAATTATTTACATCAATTACTGTACCTCTGAAATGCAGTACACAATCCAAATGCCAAGAACCTTTCAGAAGAAGAGTGGTACATCTTAAAAATCAATGAAGAACTCTACAGGATAGACTGTGAAAATGTTATTTCTCTTAGAGTTAATTTAGACTACAGTTCACGTTTTATTTGGAAACAGGAGCAGCAGAATAACTACAAAGTAACAGAACGTTATGAATATTCAGTTAATTTTACTTCTACAACATACAATTTTATATATAGCACTGAGAATAGGTTGTTTCTGTGAGGCCAGAGTCCAACCAGTTATAGCCCAAATTTCTGAAAATTATCCTGCAAACTACGACAAACCATGGACATAGTCACAGATGGTTAAAAATGGGGTTGAAGCTCTCAGCACAATAATCCCAACATACGCAAAAAAACAAAGCTCTGGCTATAAAAATACAAGTCTTTGTAGCTTTTATTCATGCAAAATTGTATTTTCCTAAAGCAAGCCAAGAATTAGGATATTGTCATGCAACTACAATTCTTTTAATTGCCAGTAAAATGTTTAAAATTAAAAATTATATTACTTGCAAATTTTACTTTTCAGAAGTTAGATGGATGTCTTAAACACAAAGAGCATTGAAGCAAGAACAACAGCAGGGGTTCTCTTCTGCAGATTAATTAAGACAAAATATTCCCCTTGAACACTCCTGCACTGCAGATCTTTTGTCCAGAGTGTCACTACTGCATATTTCATATTCATTCTAGACTTGGAGCTCCCATTAACATGGAAGGATTTTACATGTAAATTGATTACCTTTATAAGCTCTAGAGCATTCCTGAAGTAATATTACATTTTTTCAAAAATTAACTCAATTTGCAAGAGTTGCATATTGTTTCTTGTCCTCCCCCTATGAAAGTTAGAAATGGAAGCTCAGGTGTTCACCTGGGGCTCACCTTCCTCAGAAGTCACTGTCAAGAGTATGGAGATGCACCTCAATGAGTTATTTGTTTAAACCAACATGGCCACTGATTTGTGTATAAAACCAGGTGTGATAAAACTGAAGGTAACCTGACTCATATTTTTGTGTAAGGCTCTGGAATATACTTCTATACTTTTTTTTTTTTTTTTTTTTTTTTTAAAGAATAAAAATCTACATGCCCTTGCCCAGTTTAGGCTTTTTGAAGAAGCTGAATGTGTAAGAGCTATTTAAGCCTTCAAAAAGTCTCATTCTAGCTCTTATTAGCCCCACAGAGTAGTCCCACATCAGAGTATACACATATTAAATTCTGAAGCACTGAGGCACAGTGCAAATCTGTCAGAGATGGGCACAGAACCAAGGCATTATCTCACACTTGCATGTATTAATTTTAGGCAGATATCACTGAGCAATCCCACTGAGAAATTCGCATACCAAAACACCCATCAGTTTTCTTATTGCTAGGCAAGGGTTTGACCAAACACTCGTCCTGCAAAGGATTCATCCTCACATACAGCTATTGATAGTGTAAATATTTAGCCAAGACACTATCATTTTTCCACGGCGCCTGTTTATTAGAGTTTGAAGGTCTACTGTGGTATAGTTTTTTCTTATTAAAAAGGGTTCACATCAAGTTGCTTGTCCCTGTAAATTGAAAACATTCAGGTTCAAAAGAACTAAGTTTCCTCATGGGCAAATTTCAGTGCAAAACCACAGATGATCTTTGGCATGAATGCGTTTGTGGACATTCCCGTGGGTTTGCAATATGCTTGCAACAGTAACCCTAAAGGAAAATAACGTTTGACTTATCCTTTGTGAGCTTTTCCTAACTTTGAAAGAAAATATCAGACCCTGATTATTTTTAAAACAGAAGGAGCCAATTTTCTTGTACTTTTGATTATACGTATAAACCAATAACTGCAGGTCTGCAAATGTCAGTTAAATTCGCAAGGTTGATTTCTGCATGAATTGACTGCCCAAGCTGAAAGCTTACATGCTTATATTTGTATTATATGCAAATCCATTGATATTGAAGTTTGCTGAAAAAACCAACATTTTAGAAGCCTGTAAATTAAAGTGTAGGAATTAAAGAAGAGAGTAATTTCTCTCTACCTGCAATTTCACTTGCAATACTAGTAAAATCAGAGTCATCTGTTAAACACTGGTAAATTAGGTATACGTCCCTTTGGACTTTCCTAACCTCTCATTCTCCTTTCCACAACTCTGCATCCCGACTCTTTGTACTGAATCTACACAGTTGCCTCAGCTGGGGAACAAGAGCAACTCTGACCTGAATAGAAAGATTTTTTTATCCATATTATGTGTGCACACACATCTATATGTGTATAGCATACACATGTATACATCACGTTATATATGATATATATGATATACCTTATCATTTACCACCTTATCATCCAACAGTTAGTAAAGTGTTAGTAAAGCCTCTGTAACTTCTGGCAGTTTTTTGTTTCAGTACCACTGCAGTAACAGTCCCAGGTTTTACATGTTCTGCTGCGAAGCATACTGCCAAAGCCATCCAGAAGGAGTGGTAGTGGTAGAAGCTCTAGGGGCATTTGGATTTCTTTCTTACAAGAAATACTGTTCGGATAATTTGAGAACATAATGGAGAAATTCTGACACTTAGGATGTCAGAATGTACAGCTGTGAGAACAAGATTTAGTGGCAGGAAGGGAAGATTATTAAGTTTGCTTATACTTTCTAGTGCAGAGTGAAAAAGTATATTTGATGGACGTTGAAAACGCAGGTATGAGGTAGGGGGAAAAGAAGAAAAACCATACACAGTTTACAACTGTTGCTTTAAAAATACCAGAACAACAAGTTTAGGGTCATATCCTGATCTCTGTTGCAGCCAGATAACTTCCATTGACTTTAGTGGAGTCATCTGGGATTTGCACTGATGTGACTGAGACAGGCACCTGGCCTTCCAGATGCCAGGCCAATATAAATACCTAAATGTATTTTAAAGTAACAGTAACTTTGAAAAAGCTCCCTTTGGGCTCGTAAGCTTTTACAGCTTTCCTTTATCTTGGGAAAACAGCCAGGGGAAGAGGGGGAGAGAAAGTGAGAGAGGAGGCTTTAAGTTCTTGCATCTCTGTCATAGACGCTACTTGTAATATAGACCAGTTCTTTACGCATTGGGGGATACTAAAAGTCAACATAAGGGTTTAGTTTTGGCCATAAAGAATCCAAAAACGAGAGAGAAAGATCAGGACAGCAGCTAAACTTTCAACTATTTACAAAATAAAATTACAAACCGCATTCCAGCTTTAACAGGAATGACACATTTATTGCTTTCTCAGTAGCAGTGAGAGCACTATTTATTGTCTCTTAAGGACTGTGTGGCAGGTTAACAATGCCTTCAGTTTTACACTAGCAAAAAAGAGAGAAGCACACTAATGAACTGGTCTGCCCAGCTTGTTTAGGGGTGTAATGATTTCTTAGTGGTACAGTTCTCTGTGAAAAAGTATCTCCAGCTAGCTTGGCATATTACCATGTGGTATTTGTTCAACTTTTTTCCCCGAGATTCTTTTTCTGAGGCTGGGGGCAATAAACAAAGGATTAAAATTGTCTAAAAACTAAATCTACCTAACTAATTCTAACTCCATTATACTGTTTTGAAATTCTTTTTACACAGAAGAGATTCTGGATTTACAACACTAATCCAAAGAACAGAAGAAGTATCAAGGGTATTCCCAACCACAGTATTTCAACTTCCCAGCTAATACCAAAGTTGTATTCTGCAGTCCCACATCTACCTTGCAGATGATTTGTCTGAGACTGCAGATGGGGCTTCCTTTTGGAGGTGCATTTCTCTTTGCTGCTGTTCCTGTTCTCTGCTGGTTTGGTCTGAGGAGGGTCATCATTCGTAGTCAGATATTTGAGAAGTTCAGAGCAGGGACGTCTTTGAGGCTTTTGCTGTTGACAAATGCTCTTCGCTTTATTGCTCCATGAATTCTCAGTCTTAAAAACAGGGCATAATAAAATAAAATAAAATAAAAGCTAAAATTAGTGAGCTGAACCTTATCAGAATGGATATAGGTTTTCTGAAGAGATGAGATTTTCAATGAAGTGTTCAGTCTAAGTGTACTAGATCTATGAGCTGTGAATAACTGTTTGCAGAACAAGGAAAGAAAATTACATTTAAAATTCCTAAATGACATTTATGCAGCTTTTTATTTCATTTCTCCTACATTGCAATGTTCCTACTCAGCAACATGTAACTAACAAGACCCTACAGCGCCTTTACTGTGAACAAAAAAATAAGCTGGTTTAAACCTTAATTTGCTGCTGATTGCTTGAGCCCAGTATTCACAACTCTCTTAAGTACCCCTAAACGGTCCGTTTTCAGTTACAGTGAATGGCAAGACAAACATTGTTTAATACTGCCTGCTAACAGAATTATGTCAGAGCCCCCCATTCTATCCAGTTAATGTCTAATATACATTTTTTGCCAAGAATCCAGTGTCATTTGTCTTAGCTCAGACAGCTGGTAAAATGGCAGTCCCGCATCCTGGAGTCACTCATAAACAACACCAGCCCATCAGCAAATTCTATCGCACCCCCTACTACTCTGAGTATCAATAAAGCAGGCAAGAGCAACAGACGGTGGGACTACAACTGAACTCTGCCAAGAGAAAAAGCATAAATGAAATATTCAGAGCATAAAGGAGCTCAGGTGATTTTCTGGAACCCAGCCTATAATCCATTCACTTTTTTTAAAAAACAGTTACAAGACAGTGGGTAGATTAATGCAATACATTCAGATCTACTGCTTATTGCTGAAAGCATAGAAGACCTTGTTCCACTTATTTTTGCCCCCTTATTGTAAAGAATAAGTTTGTACCTTAACAACCACAGGGCTTGTTCTGATCCTGTGATTAGTGTTTGCATGGTTTTGTGTGCTGAGACCACTGCATTCATTGTAATTTAGCTGAGTGTTAGCTGGAGCCAGCAAGAGCTTCTTAAGCTACAAACACATCAGGGAAAGGGAAGTGGAAGGAAAAGAGTAAAGTTATGCATCTTTATGGATTAAAAAGACTTATCTACATTTTTTGTATAATTACTTAAAATTAGCTATATCAATTCCAGCAATAAAAAAGAAAGCAAGACTTGATATTTCTCAAGAGTAAACAGATTTCAATTTTTTCTGGCTTGGCAGCACATTTCTGCTCCCTTTACTGCAGTATACTGCAGGGCAAGCAGAAACGACAGGAATCTTGGATTTCTGAATCCATGGCAAAATAAAATTCTTGGTGATCTGTTTGACAGAAGAGGCCTCTGATCTAGACAGAGACGTTAATTTTAACAGACTAACGGATACAGTGTCAAGATTCAGGTATCTGGCTCTGCTCCCAGTGATAAGAGGCTTTCAGCAGAAAGAGAATCAGGTCTCAAACTAGATTTACTGAGTAAAATGGGTATAATGTTTCACCCACATCCTCACCCAAGATTCAGTTTTGCCCTGGTTAGCACTAAGCTGGTGCTTACTGGTCAAATCAATGTTAAAGGCACAAAATTAGCCCCGCATCCTACCAGACTCATTGGGCCTTTCTTTACAGATCACCAAAAATGACATCTAAACATACATAACAAAAAGACCCCCAAGAAATGAAATATGAATTAAGAACCATTACCTTGACTTATATGAACAGAATGATAAGCAAAAGTGTCATCCCCATTAGCACAAGAGTCTCAAAATCAATCTTTTTAACAACATTTTAATAGATTGCTATATTAATCACCATATAGCTATTTAACTATTTGGTGGGGGTTTTTTTCCCCTGCTCAATTTTCAGTTCTTTACTTGATTTTGCTCTCCAGTCTAAATGAAAAGTCCAGACCTTACTGTGACTACATCATACCCATGCAGCGGGTAGCCAGAGGCACATCCAATTCCTGTTAAACAGTAGGAAGGGTTCTTACTAGAGACGGCTCTTCTGCCTCCTGAGTTGGAGGGGTGCCGTCGGGCATTGGAGAAGGGCTAGTGGCATTTTCGTTGGTCACATCTCCATCTGTCAATGCATCAAATGAAGGCAATCCATCCTCATCCACAGGGATGCTGTCCAGTGTTTCAGTGAGAACAGCTAGCAAGTTTGCTTCGCTCTCTTCATCTATCTTCTGTGGGAGAGGACAAAACAAAAAGAAGAACGAGGTGAGAAGAGGAACAAAAATGATGCCTCTGTACGTGAACAAGCAGACAACACTTAGTTAAATCAGCCCTTGAAACAGTAACCTGCAACAGAATCTCAGAAGATGTAATTAGGTGCAATAAAATGATCCATCTCTGTTCCAGAGAAATCTCTTTGCACCTGTGGTGTATTGCTAGTTTGCTTTTCTTCCACAGTTCTTTTTTCTATCAGGTGTTAACAACGATAAGTAATCACCCAGGGATTGTATTACAGGATATGCCTAAGATGCTGACACCTAATGACGGTGTCAGCCCAGGCTGTCTCTTTCTTTCTCTTTTCAACACTGAACACCAGCTAATTGACCTGACAAAATTACAAGAATCAGACAGCTAATCACGACACCAAAATGAATCACCGGTGAAATATGGAAAACCTTGTTCTCATATGAAGTCCGATGTAAGTGAGAAAGGGTTTCCCTCTCACACTTCTGCAAATCCTTGCTCCAAATCCAAATGAATAGCTTCTCATTCCTGAGTATTCTTGCAGTAGAATAGCCAGTAGGACTCATACTTTAAATGGCAGGCTGTTTGGGTGTCTTTTAAAGAAATGTATTAGGCCGGTAACCTTTGAAGTTGTCCTTTAGAATTATGTCATCTGTGTGCTCCATGCACTATTGTATGCATTTATTTAATTCAGACTGCAATTATAAAAAGTAGATTAATTCCTAATCAGATGTGGCTGTTAATTTATATCTTATTTCAGCAACAACAGTTCTTTTTGTCAAACTGAGTAAATTTAAGTGCCTTCCAATTTTTTAATGAAATATAGTCCCTGCTGTATATTAAGGTAGAGATTTTTTGAGTACTGAGAAATTGAACTGTGTAAAAATCATTATATTTATTTTTCAGAAAGATTGGAAATTGATCTTGAAAGATCAATTATCTGGGATTCCTAGGCTGATCCTAGTGCTATTAAAGTAAATTAAAAGCCTTTCACTGATTCTAGGGATACCAGCTTCAGAATAGTTCCATCATGTTCCATGTGAGCATGTGAAAGGTTTTCAGCTAAGTTCAAATCTCAAACTTTAAAAGTGAACTAGTGTGACAAATAGTACCAGTAAGACAAACAAGCATGCAAAAAGAAGAAGTTAAAAAAGGCAACAACAAAACATTGCTAAGTTACACTACCAAAAAAAAAATGAAAATCATCAAGTGAATCTGGGTATCCCCTTAGCATAACTTTTTTCAGTAATACTTTTATCTAGCAAACTCCAAACAGAGATGATCATAAACCACATAGATAATTGCTCCTGCCAGGCTTCTCTGCCAAATCACACCTCACGGCTTCTAACATAAAAGCTGTCTTTGAGCTAGAAAGCTAAGGCAGAGCACAAACTGTACTGGTGCTTACAGCATCATCTCCAAGAAACAAATAAATACTCAGGCAAGCTAATGCTAAGGAGAAGCATTTACTTAAAAGGCCAAAAGGCTTTTGGCCACTGAGAAGAAGTGTCCAAGTTCCAGTATCAGGTGATTTCCACCATACCAAGCAGACATATGCGCAGAGATGTGATCGTTCAGAGTGCAGAGATGGAAATGACAGAGGGGAGCCACCTTGTGAATAAAACCATGCTCGCATCCAGCTTTTCACAGCCACTTTCTGAGGGGAAAAGAGGAAAATTATGGTGCCCCTTCCTATTCTGGAAGAAAAAGCATTATTGGGCAAAACAGGATTTTAAGTGCCAGTGTTTCTTCCCAGTGGTATTTCAAGCCCCTTGCAGGTGGTGAGATGAATGGTGTGAAAGCCAGCCCTTGGGCCTGGGGTGGCCATGAGGGGGTCTGGATGCATGACCCCCAGCCTCATGTCAGGAACTTCTTCAGCAAGTCTAACTGGTGAGGCAAACTGCTGAGCCTTGCAGCTTATAAAGCTGACATGAAGCTGGAAGTGTTACTACTTCTAACAAGGAATGCCTTCTTTAATAATAGCATGCCAGAAGAAACCCTGATATTTGCTGTTAGCTGCTCAGCTCTCATGCTTTAAACAGACATTCAAGTGTGCTGACATTCAAGAACAGAAAGTTGAGTGGACACCGATCCTCATCACAGCAATTTCAATTAGTTTTGTACAAGTTTCAACATTCAAGCACCCCAGAGAAAGCAGAGGATGTGACAAAGAGGACTCTGTTAAACAATTAATGTCACTTTCCATTATTGCTTCAGTCCCAATTTACAGAGCAAATAAATCAAAGTCATCACAGATGAAGCACAATAGCTGGCTAACACATGTCTATTCACAAACGACATGGCAGCAGGAACACATTAGTAAAGAAAATGACATTGCTAGATAACCTTTTAAAGGTTTAACTATGCTATTGCTCCTAATTGTCCTAAATTACTGTTTATAAAGAAACACAATTACTAGACACAGCAGAAATGGTGCTGAAGGGAGATGCGGAGGGAGAGATGGTCGAGTACATCAACGTCTGAGCAATAATCACTGAAGCAGCAGCTTTCTCCTTTGCTATTACAGCCTGAGTCTTGGTGTTGACAGCACTGGGGAGAAGCAACTCCATGCCAAATGCAGGCTCTTTCACAGTTTCAGCAGTGTCACTGCAGAAATTCACATTTCAGACTGGCATCCAACCTGCTCATCATACAGGCACAGTGAGTCAGGAGCACCTGAGCACCTTCCATCTATGCCGAGGTCAGAGGATGCACCGTATGCTCTCTGGAACTCACTTCACCATGTCCCTAACTTCAAGCAGGATCTCACTGAAAGGGTTTGCTTCCATCTAAAGGAGTAAATCCTAAGTATTCAGACCACCTAAATGAACTACAGCATGTAAGTAAAAGGGGTGGAGGATAATCTCAAAGTAAAGCTGCATGGCAAATACATGCAGTTATTAAACTCTTATGAAAACAATTTATAATGACTGCATCTTGCTAACTAGTGTCTCTTTTTAATGCAGAAGCAGTTACACATTGCTTCCCAGTCACACTGGATGAAGTTCTTAACATCCATGGTTGTTAACTCAACATAAACATATGGGGGCCAGAAGTTTTTGATCTCTGTAAATTTGCGCTCAAATGAAAGAGGCAAGGAACTCAAGTTTGTCACTAAATGCACGTCCTTCCATGTTTCTGACATTCAGATTTCCAGTGTATCCAGAAAGCCATTACATCTGAAAGGAAATAAAATTTGGCATTGGTTTCACTCTGTATTGGTGAATGCAAGAGGGGTAAACTGCCAGAACACCAAACCGATCCTCAAACATGAGTGATCTAGGCATCTAAAGACCATGAGAATTTGCTCTAATGCTTTAATATTTCTACAGTACTGAATTTTCTGTCTGAAAACACTTCAATAGTTGTGTAACAATCTAATTGGGTTTCTGCCTTCAGTAAAAAGTCTCCAGAGATATTCTGTCTTTGGTCAGTGAAATGAGTTGATAATTTACCCACACAAAGGTATTTAAATCCTCTACCCCTGATGATTCTTTCTCTTTTGCTTATTCTGACTACTGATGGAGCTGGGTTCACCTTGTGGTTAGCATTTTAATCTGTAATACCTGTTACTTGTCAGCAATCCATAGAGGCCACAGATGCCAAAGACTGAGCTGTAACACCTTGTCTTTCACATGCATCCATTTAGGGTGCATATAGTGAGCAATGCTGTGATTTTTCCTTAATTTTTTTTCCTTTAAAAAAGATCATGCAATATTTCAAAGCCACTGTCATTACTATCAGATTGGGTTCAAGAACACCTTGGCAAACTTGACGTTCACAAGTCCATGTGCCCTGATGGGATGCATCTACAAGTGCTGAGAGAGCTGGCAGACACCATAGTGAGGCAGCTCATGATCATCTTTGAGAGGTCGTGGTGATAAGGAGAGGTGACTGAGGACTGGAAGAAAGAAAATGTCACCCCAGTCTTCAAAGAGGGGAAGAAGGAGGATTCAGGGAATTACCAGCCAATAAGCCTCACCTCAGTTATTGGAAAGGTGATGAAGTGCCTCATTCTGGAGGCCATTTCTATCCACATGGATGACAAGAAGGTGATCAGGAAGTAGTCAGCATGGATTCACTAAAGGAAAACCATGCCTGACCAACCTGATTGCCTTTTATTATGAAACAACTACATGGATGGATAAGGGGAGAGTAGTGGATGTTGCCTACCTTGACTTTAGCAAGGCTTCTGACACTGTCTCTCACAAACTCAGGAAGTGTGGGTTGGATGAGTAAACAGTGGGATGGATTGAGAACTGGCTAAGTGGCAGACTCCAGAGTATCATAATTAGTGGCACAGGGTCTAGTTGGAGGCCTGTCACTAGTGCTGTTCTTCAAGGTTCAATACTAGGCCTAGTTTTGTCTCACTTAAGTCATCAGTGAAATGGATGAAGGGGCAGATGCCTCCTCAGCAAGGTCACTGGTGATGACACAAAGCTGGGAGGAGTGGCCAATATCCCACAGTGCTGTGCAGCCCTTCAGAGGACCTCAAGAGGTTGGAGAGATGGGGAGAGAAGAACTGACTGAAATTCAACAAAGGCAAATGCAGAGTCCTGCACCTGAGGAAGAGTAACCCCATGCACCAGTACAGACTGGGGGCTCACGTGATGGAAAGCAGCTCTGTGGAGAAGGGCCTGGGGGCCTGGTGGACAACAAGCTGTCCATGAGCCAGCAGTGTCCAAAATGGTCAATGGAATCCTGGGGTGCATTAGGAAGAGCATTGCCAGCAGGTCAAGGGAGGTGATCCTGCCTCTCTACTCAGCCCTAGTGAGGTGCACCTGGAGTGCTGTGTTCAGTTCTGGGCTCCTCAGTACAAGAGGGACATGGAGTTCCTGGAGCCTGTCCAATGGAGGGACTGGAGCATCTCTCTTATGAAGAAAGGGTGACGGAGCTGGGCCTGTTCAGTCCTCACGAAGAGACAACTGAGAGGGGACCTCATAAACGTCTATAAGTATCAGAAGGGAAGGTGTCAAGAAGATGAAGC